GCGGCTGGAGATAAAGTTTCAACCCTGCTCTAGCCCTTGTGAGCCACAACATCGCCTCACTTAGCAACAAGATGGTCCTTGACCCCATTCCAAAGACCCGACATCGCCCTATTGGAATCAAAGTGACTGCTGCTGTCTCTTTGCAACAATTCCATTCCACCGCTGTTTCAACTTAGTAAGGCCAACTGTGAAGGCTTCACCAATGAGCTCAAACACCATCTAGCTGACATTGATCCAACCCCTGAATACTATGACACCGGTTTGTTGATGTGGTGGTGCAAGAACATCCCTACGGGCTGCCGCACTGATTACATCCCCAGCAGCATCCCGTAGTGCTGAACTTTACAGGAAATAGAGACACTTGTATGAAAACGACTCTCTTGCTGTCGATACCATCTCATCTTGGGAGAACAGCCATATCAGAACAGCTTCAAAGCTTGTGGCAAACCCTTGTGGTAACCACCAATATGGCCAAGAAGCCAATATGGCCTCCAAGCCTGGAGTATAATATAAAAAAAAAGCTCAGCCAAGTGAACAGCATTGTAACATCACCGCCAACCAAATAGCCCACAACAACTGCTATTTAAATGGTAAAGTGCCACGCGACCGAAAGCCAAGCTCCGCCAGAAAGACCCCGCCATCGACCTTATTGGCTTCATCAAATCCTTCTCTGCTAATGAACTTGCGACTGGCATAAATAAAGAACAGGAAATCAACCAAACTGGATAACATTTTCACCAAAGAACTGAAACATCTTGGACCAAACGCCTCAAATTGGTTACTCCAGCTCATCAACACCTGCCTCGCCACACAAACAATACCTAAAGTGTGGCAAAAGTCGAAGGTCATCGCCCTCTTAAAACCCGGAAAAGACCCAATGCATGTCAAAACTTATCGTCCCAAAGTCACACTTTCAAGTTGCTGGAATATTTCCTCCTCAACCTTCTTGCCTCTTCATTGAGAAACAACTGATACAGGAACAGGCAGGCAGGCTTCCGTCCCGGCAAATCTACAACGGGACAGCTTCTAAACCTCACTCAGTACATTAAGGACTGCTTCCATCAGAAAAAATATATCACCGGCGCTGTCGTTGTTGATCTTACAGCTGCTTTTGACAGTGTTAACCGTTGCTGACTCCTTCAGAAGATCCTGGACATGACAGCAGACCTGACCCTTATCCAGTTTATTGGTGTTCTATTGAAGAAACAACGTTTCTTTGTAGTATTCAAAGGCAGAGTAGAGTACGTCTTCAAAGGAACGGTCCCCCAAGGGAAGACGTTGACCGATGTTCTTGACCAGTCACAGCAGTGCTTCACTGTGAGTCACTTGAAAGCGATCAACCCTGCTATTAAGACCCAAGTGTGTGCCTCCTGGGTTGACCAGACTGGTGGCGTCTCCCCCACTACATGAGATGCCAATCAAGCCTGCAGAAGCCTTACCTGCAGGATCCAATGCAGGATGGAAGACCTGGAGGTGCTTAAATCACCTCCGCTCTGGAGTGGCTCGCACCAAAAGAAGTGGGGATTTTCCTCAACCGACAAACACCCTGTGCGAGTGTGGTACTGCAGAGGACACTTTACAACATTTCATATTTAGATGCCAGACACTAAAGGGTTGGTCATATTTAGGCCCTAAAAGGGGGGGGGGGCGGATTTTCCCTCTTTCAACTTTTTCCGCGATACTCTTGAAAAAAATTATTTATTTCGCGGCCTGAGCTGTCCTGACTTTTTAGCCTCGAGTCTTGCACATCTTTTGATACCAAAAACATAAAATTCGAAACACAGGTTGCCGCGCGGCGAAATATTTTCGGCGCTACCCTCCGTCAAAACTGAATTTCCCCATATACGTAGTGTACACAATTGAATTACCATACGTGCTTATGAATAATTAATTAGCCGTAATTCCAAAACCCTTTAACCCATAGTCATTAAATTTCTTGGGTTTGTTCATGTTATGTTGTTCTATGCATGTACCAAGTTTCATAATTTTTCGTCACTCGATGGCCGAGGTCATGGGGGGGGGGGCCGGAATCTGCGTGAGATGGTCAAAACAACCCAGCCCTTTTCGGGCAAAAGTGACATTTTCCCATGTTTTCTTCAGGAAAACCCATAAATACATTAATAATAACATTTATTATTATGGAGAAACTCTCAACCAAATACAATATGTGCTCACTTGCCTCGAAAATCTTCGCAAACCCTTCCGAAAGGCAAATTTTAGGTGAAAATGACCCATGAACTTTGACCTCAGGTCAAGGTCACTAAAGGTCAATGGAAAAAATGGCAACATCAATTTTCTTGTTCTCAGGACTCATAAGATTACATTTATAATGGTTGCCGTAAATTAACATGACATGCCAACGGAAGTACATTGGCCCCCCCCCCACTAGCAGGTGAAAGTTGCGTTTTTTACATATTGCTGACACTTGATCGCTCATGGATATATGGCAGTCGAGGATTACACCTAGATTTCTGCACTTGGAGGATGACTGAATTACAGTTTCACCAATGACGATGCGGTAATACTGTGAGTAATCGTTTTGGCTGACAAAGTGTGCAATTGAGAGTCTTTTGGTGGGGTATGCCTGAGATCAAAATCACTTGTGAAATGCGATCAAAACCTCGGTTTGCTCCATAATTATACTCCCCCGATCAGTCGGCACTATTTTGGAGCTATACGGCACTATTTTGGAGCTATTTTACGGCGGGAAAAAGACTGTTAATAGTAGTAGTAGAAACATTTATTCAATGTTGCCATTTCCACACAATAAAATGTTACAATGCCGTGTAAACATTATTATACAGAATAAAATGCAATGAATTATGTAATTGTGTATTTACGCTTACTTGAACAGAATGCTCGTAAAATGAGGATTTTGTTTTAAAATTAATATTTAATTATGGTTTTCCCAGTTACTTCAACAATTGTATAATATAGCATTCCTTGGAAAGATACTTTAATTTCGTTCCAGAACGTCGTTGGGCTCCATTGTTTATTCCGAATTCGAATGTAATTCCTATTATGTCTCCAGTGTAATTCGCAAATATAATATAAAGCATTCAGATTCGTCCACGTTTCGGGAAATTCGTCTAATGTGGAGATAGGTGTTGAATTAAAAAAACATGCTTTATTATTTTTTTAATTTGTTATTCGTAGTTTCGTTTCCTTTCGTTTCCTTTCGTTTCCTTTCGTACTTTCGTTTCGTTTCGTTTAGGTATATGTTCTGATACCTTTATATTTGCGGGCCGCGTTCCTGTACTTCTGTCAGAAGTCAGCACAGTTAATCAAAAGACATCGTCGGCAATGTTTTTTTTTAGTTTTTTTTTATTTTCGTCTTTAAATCTCTTCGTACATTTCTGTTACTGAATATATTGTAGTAAATTTTGTAATAAATTGTGTGTAGGGCCTACCTATATTTCCTATGAATCCCAAGTAAAATTAATACAATAAATTAATGCAAAATTATATTGAGCATTATTTTCTCTCGCCCATTGTTGAAAGTCTCGAACGAGACGATGATGGATCCATAATTTTACCTGATTTCAGTGTTCCTTTTTTTCTCAAAGAGAGAAAATTTATTTTGTCTGACAAGTCTTGCTTTCTGGTAGTAGGCCCTACTTTCAAACCTGTGAAATCATTGGCTGTTGTTGACTAAACTAATCACTCTTGCAAAACACAGCATTGTTAATATTGTTTGTAAAAAATAATGAGGAAGTTTGAGGGGAAAAAAAACAATGACTATACCGGTACATGTTTTTGAACATTTTGAAATAGGCCTATATACCTTTTGTCCGGAACAGCAATGTGTTTACAATCTATCCAGTTCCCTTTCCCACACAGTTCCTGAATAAATTAACCTCGAAAAAAATACACTTTTTTGTAAATTTCAGTTGCCAGTAGGCACTGAGAGCTATGGGTTTATTCTAATAAACTGTTATGTTGAGAAATTGACTCCTACTTTTTTCACTTTAGTCATGAAACTTCTTGGGTTTGTTCATGTTATGTTGTTCTATGCATGTACCAAGTTTCATAATTTTTCGTCACTCGATGGCCGAGGTCATGGGGGGGGGGGGGCCGGAATCTGCGTGAGATGGTCAAAACAACCCAGCCCTTTTCGGGCAAAAGTGACATTTTCCCATGTTTTCTTCAGGAAAACCCATAAATACATTAATAATAACATTTATTATTATGGAGAAACTCTCAACCAAATACAATATGTGCTCACTTGCCTGGAAAATCTTTGCAAACCCTTCCGAAAGGCAAATTTTAGGTGAAAATGACCCATGAACTTTGACCTCAGGTCAAGGTCTCTAAAGGTCAATGGAAAAAATGGCAACATCAATTTTCTTGTTCTCAGGACTCATAAGATTACATTTATAATGGTTGCCAAAAATTAACATGAAATTTCGACGGGAACCCAAATCTGAACATTGGCCCCCCTACTAGTAGGGTAGGATTACGGGAAGCCCTGTAATATCAATAAGTACATTCCATGGGCGTCGCCAGGATTTTTTCTAGAGGGGGGCAAAAAAAATGTTTGCCAAAAAATGCTTGTATTTCTCAACACATTCTCGATTTATCAGTTTTAGAGGGGGGCAGGGACATTTTGCCCCCCCCCCAACTCATTAAATTTACACCACTTTGTCTTCGCGCCTCTTTTTCTTTCTTTTTTCTTTTCTTTTTTTCTTCCTTTTTTGTGTGTGGCTTTTCCAGGGGGGGGGGGGGGCAAGTGCCCCCCCCCCCCCCCTTGCGACGCCCATGGTACATTCTAATAAACATGCGGGTTGGGCCAACATTTCACATTCAAGAAATACACAGGTTATAAGTTGGTGAAATATTACAACTTCACACAATGAACACGGTTTTTACTTTAAATGCACAAGTTTCTTACACCATGAAACGGCATTCATCATAAATGAGAAAATACAGATTTTTCCCAAGTATACACTACACACTACACAATAAATGATTATACATTACTAATAATAATAATTACTCACACGGCGTTCGGTTTCGTACGGGCCTATCCGTGGGTCTGGCGTTCCCGGGAGATTGCGATGCGGTAATAACACAATGGGCCTCAATCGCCCACAAGCGGGATTTTTAAAAACTCCCCTCTAAAAGAGGGTACAAGAAGTCCGCCCGACACGCAGCCTTCGGCGGCTCCCAACTCGACAGCCTCAGCGCTGAAGGTCCACACCCATCCGCTTAGCGAACACCCAACCCGGCGAGACACACTCACTCCGGCTCCCGTACCGCAAAACTCAATCCGAAAAAACGTGGGCGAGGGTTTTATACCCCTCCCCGGAATGCCAGTTACCCGATTAACCCAGTTCTGAATACAAACTTACTGGAGCTTGCACCACGACTGAGCCCCACATGGGTGCAAGCCCGGAATAGGTATGCAACAAAGGGACAAGGAATTACGATTTGCATAACTCATCTAGCATCAACCTCAGATGTTACATAACACTTTACGGGAGTACAAATTTAGTCTACTAATAAATTAACTCGGAAAATAAAAGGAATAATTTTAACACGTCTTGTGACACCGATTTTGTTTCAATCTTTTTTAAAACAATTGCTAGCCACCCCCACTTTCCTTAATTACTGTCCCCAAGTGACCTTGCACGGAATGAAGAGTGTTGCAATTACAGTTACAAATTGAATCTCAGCAGTAGTCTAGGACTGAAATTTTACTCTGTTTTCTCAGTTTATGTAACTACAATAATAATATCTTCAACTAGGCAAATACAGATCGTTTGTTGAACAAACACAATGAACATATCCGTGGTAAATCTGTTGTAAATCAATTCGTGAGATTTAGTTAGAGGCCAGGGGTGCACTTTCACGAATCCATCTATTAAAAGGGGATAAATAGAATCTACAAGTATTAACAAAAACCAGTTGTTTCACTTGCCTTTCTACTTAAACAGTTTTAGACCAAATTTAAAAATTATTATTATTTATACGGCCAACAAATGAACAAAAGTACAATGTCAAAGCAAATAAAAATCAGATAGTAAACAAAAAATGGAATTGAAAAGAATGACCAGACAAGACTGAAGACTGATGCGAGTAGGAATGGGTTGGTGGGAGGGGGGGGGGGGGAGGGTGGACAGTTTGACAGGGGAGAGGAGATAGAGGGACAGAAAACAAGAACAATATAACATTTCAAACCGGCCAGGGTAAACAAAAGTGTACTTAAACACTGTAGCCCTAAGGCCTGCCTACCCATGCTCGAAATGTCTACACAAAAAATAAATAGAAAACAATGCAAATAAAAATATATAAATGAAAAGAAAATGAAGGAAAAAACAACAAACAAACAAACAAACACCCCAACAAACAAACCAAAACAACCCAACAAACAAACACCCCCAAAACATACAAATGAAATGCTGCTGAAAAACAAACACACAAGCGGAACTAGAGATTTACACATAAATATTAATATCAGGTGAGCACTATAGAAAAGTTATCCGAGATCTTGGAAGTGATCAGACAGACTTCTTTTGAATGAACTTAAAGAGCCAAGTATAACCGAGTCTTTAATATGAGATGGAAGTTTGCTCCAGATGCGTGGAAATGAATGGGTGATGGAGTTCTTGAGGGCAAGAGTTCTGGCATACTGTTGGCTGAATATCACATGATCTAGGTGGCGAGTGTTTACTGTTATATTACTACAAACAGAATGGCAGTCAATAAGTCCATACAGACACTTCACTACATATGTGATGGACTGCTTGCTCGTCTGTTCTCCAAAGACATCCAGTTCAGGGCTTGAAGTCTATCCTCGTACGTTACGGTTCCCCTGGCAACCTTCAGACACATCCTGCTGGCCCGCCTCTGGTATTTGTAGGTTGAAGTGATGCTTACAGGCTAGGAGTGTCGTTGAGGATATCAAAGTGGGGGGATCAATTTGTTTCTTTGCTCGCGAAATGTGGAGAACCTTAGTTTTCCTTAGGTTGAGCTGCATGCCGTTCATTTCACTCCATCGGCCAAGTTCAGTGAGGTCTGTTTGAAGGGCATGCTCGTCATGAGGAGACTGGATGGGTTGGTAAATAAGTGTGTCGTCGGCAAACAGCAGGAATTTTGTTGACAGGTTGTGGGAAATGTCATTGATGAACAGGTCAAAAAGCAAAGGGCCAAGGACGCTTCCTTGTGGGACTCCAGATGTGACAGGTGCCCAGTCTGAAAAGCAACCACGATACATGACACGTTGCTTTCGGCCAATCAAGAAGGATTTGATTCATGCCCAGGTTTGTCCACTGATGTTGTAATTGCTTGCCAGTTTTTTTTAGCAGGATGTCGTGCGGCATGACATCAAAGGCCTTGCTGAAGTCAAGGAAAATGGTTACACCTCTATGTTCCGACACCCCTATGTTCCGACTGCACATATTCCTATTCCTAACCAGTGGCGTCACCAGACTTTTCAGTCTGGGGGGGGGGGGGGGGGCACAGGGGGGGGGGCACCAGCATTTGATGGGGGGGGCACTTAGGTGGATACGGATCGCCGTCCTGGGGGAGGGGTCTAAGGGGAGGGGGTGCCCCCCTCCCCTTTGGAAAATTTTCGCATACGGAGGATGGGCTAGATGCAAAATGGTGCCACATTTGCAGCTCATTTGAAGAAAATACGAATTACTGTGCTTCTTTGTCCTTATGAAAAACCAACTCAGATGATGGGAGTTGAATATAACAAAATATATATATTTTTTTACCAACCCAAATCTCAGATGGGGGGGCACTCGGGGGGGCACTAGGTTTTCCAGGGGGGGCACGTGCCCCCCCTGGCCCCCCCTTGGCGACGTACGCCACTGTTCCTAACCCTAACCCTAACCGGCAGTAACACAATCTAGGTTGTCGGAACATAGGGGTGTCGGAACATAGAGCAGTCACCAAGGAAAATGATGTCAATGCGAGGAGGTCGTGGTCTATCGAGTATGGTCGCCCAGTCATGAATTGCATTGGTAAGTTGAGTGACACAGGATCGCTGTGCAGTGAAGCCATGCTGCTTGGTGTTGCCAAGGCAAAGTGAAGAAATGTGCATAACATTGCTACTTGTTGAGGTGGGGGATGGCCCTAAAAGGCCCCACTCACGATCTGCCAATGCACAGAGGGAGGAACACTATAAAAAGCCTTATTAATGACATTATGATTTTACTCAGTAAGCATAACATAAACCATATGTCTGAAGTCCCTTGTCAATGGGTAACCAGCTCTCGAACTAACGTCCTGTCAAGTTGGTTCACCCACGGTGTTCTCATGTACGTCTGCTGCCCTCTCTCGGCTTGCAGTCTCTGATGACTAAAGTCAGTTTCCCTTGTTTTTCCAGCTCTTTCAGTTTGGTGTGTTCCCCAGTAAAACTGTGCGCCCTGTTGCGGGAAAAGTTGAATTTGACATCGTCGAAATAATGATACTTGACTGCTCGACCCTCCAGGTCTTTGTAAAACGGGTAGAATCCGAAGAGAGTGATGTTCGAGCAGAACGTCCGAGCGACTGCGTACATGTCTAATCCAAGTGTGGCTACTCGTCGTAGACCCCATGCCCTGCAAGGAGGGAAATTAAAGGGTTTGGGTTGGGGAGCAAAAATTACATTAGTTATGAGATGTCCAAAGAGACATGGAACGAAAAAAAAATCGGCGCACGATAAGTACTCAATTAATTAATTTCAGTTTTTTTTTAATTAGGAGCGTCCCGCTCCCTGGCAGTTCTGGAACCAGAATTGACCTAGTGTGTATGATTATTTATAGCATTTCGCTCAAAACTTTCTTAACTGGAGTGCGCCATTGGTGCAATGTTAAAAAAAAACTTTTTAAAACTGTATAAAGGCCTGCAAATGCAAACAAGCAATTTTATTCGTTATACATGACATTATTTTCCCAAACATTTCTTTTGGAAGAGACAATCGGAATTTTGAAAAAGTCAGTATACCGGCTTTAAGAGTCTTGAATGCTCTCAGACTGAAGCCTCAATTCGTCCTTTTTGAACGGAAGCCATATGCATCATGCGCTGGTAATTTCCAACTATACGGCCAACGTTTGCACTATAGGTCTACATGTATTTGGTCATTTTGCCAACTTATCCTGACCACGGCGTCTACCCAATCATGATAGCGTCTACTAATCATGATGGTTCTCAATACTATCAGCTACCATAGTTTGATTTCAAACTTGTGAAATTCCTCATGGTGCTCATACAAGATCGCCTATTCGTCTGTGAGACATCTCATGGTCAACGAAACAAGAAGAGGAGAATTAGAAATGGTCTTCCTCAGGACTCTGTATTTGCCCCTGTGATGTTCAATATTTACACAGCTGGCATGGCAAATGCTCGCAGTACACCTATCACTGATGACTCTGCTTTGGGTTTTGCTGACAGGTCATTTGAAGCCATCAAAGTAGCGCTCGAGACAGATCTCAACAGCCTCAGTCACTACTTCCACCAGTGGCACCTAAAACTCAGCCTCTGCTCTGTATTACATTTGGCCAACCGCTGTGCTAAGAGGAAATTGAACATCAACCTGAACTGCGCCAGGCTCAACTTTGATCCTACACCAAAGTACCTTGGCGTCACGTAAAGTAATGGAATACAAAGTGGGTGGCGTCAGAGCTGAGTGTAGGGGTAGGGAGGGGGGTAGGTTCCAGTTGCAGCAGCTGGGAGTGGGGTATGCATACGTCTTGCAGCTTGTCTTTTACACGCATAGTGGTTTTCAAATCACTTAAGGTGAAATTATCTTTAAGTTGTAATTTTCATTTACAACTTTTTACCGATCCCGGCCCACAGAAAGGGGTCAACCTATTGCTGGTCAACACCGCAGGATTAGCTGCTTGACTCTTCAAATTTCGAAATACCAAAGCTTTGACGTCCCAATGATCAGCACGTAGCGAACGTTGCGTGAGTGCACACGAATCACAGCTTTAAAAACTAGGCGGTTGTGAGGGTTTGAAAGGGGAGGGGTTTTGAAAAGTTACGAATACAAACCATTGTGAATCCCAGCCTGCGTCAGGGCACCAAGTTTTACTGGAAATGCACGTAGCACGTTCTTTCTAGTGACGGTTCGAGCAATAACGGTACTAAACCGTAAACAATACGGGAAATGGACAGTGTTTTTACGGGTTTTGTTTACAGTGTATGCATGGAACAGGCTTTGCAGTTCGGAACTTCCTACTCCCTTGCTTTCAGCAACCAGTCGTCATCTCTCCCCGCCTCATGTCTTTGCGTATATGTGTCTCAGCACGCTTCCCATTCATACATGCATTTATACCTCTGCCATTTTTAATATATGTGTTTATTGTTAACAATTTTTTTTATAGATTTTTATAGATTTATATATTCTTTGTGTAGCCACAGGTATTGGAATTGAAGGCCTTCGGGCCACAGTTTTTAGGTAAACTTTTTTAATTCCGGGCATATGCCCCTGGCTTTCGTCATGTTCGTTTTTGTTTTCTTGGTTTTTGGTTTTCTTTTATTTTGTGAATGTTTGTTGTTTGTGTTTTTAATGCCGAGTAAATAATAATAATAATAATAATAATAATAATAATACCACAGGATCTAAATGATGCAAGCATCACAACCCTCCACAAAAACAAAGGTAGCCGACAAGTCTGCAATAACTACAAGGGCATCTCATCTGTGTTTAGCTTGGAAGGTCTTTGCCCGATTGCTGTTACCTCGGCTACAGGTCATCGCCAACAGTTCCCCTTGAGACAACTTCAGGGGAAGTGTGTTGAACAACGGAGACCTCTGTACATGGTCTTCGTCGACTTAACTAGTGTTCGACAACGGGAGTCCGTTCAGAATTTTGCATTTCCTGAACCATCTGGTTTCTTGTTTAACACTCGCAGCTCTGGGATTTTCTTCGACCTGCAGCTGCTGTCCCGTCTCCGTGCCAGGACGAAGGTTGGGCATGTTCTCATCCGCAGATGAGCTTCAAGATTCCGGCTACTCATTTGCCAGCGCTTGCTCGGAGTTTGGCATGAACACCAGCCATGGCAAGACAAAGGTGTTATCACAAGGCCCAGGCCCCCATCCCATCATCAACATCAATGGCACACCTCTGAGCGTGTCAACAAATTTCGGTATCTGGGTTCCACAGGTACCATCACCAAACTCCCTGGATGCCGAACTTGACTCCCGAATAGGTCGGGGTGCAACTACCTTTGGCCGAATCCGTGCTCGCCTTTGAGACAACCGGGCTCTCTTCATCAAGCTGAAGATCCGCATCTACGTGTCTTGTGCTGAGTGTGCTACTCTTCACTGCTGCGAGTAATGGCCGACCCACCGCCGCCAGGAACGTCGACTGAACGCCTTCCATTTCCGCTGCCTGCGTTCAATTCTTGGAATTTCCTCAATCCTGTCATTCTTAAGCTCACGGGAGTCAACGACATGTTCACAATGATGTCAGCTCGCTGCCTTTGGTCTGGTCACGTCTGTAGACAGGAGGATGGTCGACTGCCGAGGAAATCTTCGGGGAGCTGGCTCCGTTACAAGGATGTCTTAATAAAGCGTGATCTGCGAACTTTCCAAATTCCAGTTAGCTCCTGGCAGATTGTTGGCGATCTGATGTCCACCTGGGCCGCTCTGCTTCGTCTGTGGCATATATTGTTGATTGCGAGAATCGTCGTAACACCGAGCTACATCGTCGTATTCCACGGGATAGGCCACTGCTGCCACTGCTGTCTGACCATGATGGAGAAAGTGACACAATGACTTTCCGATATAATTATGCACAGTCGATTTATGGTCGGAAAAAAAGTTTGATAGCATTTCGCACAAAACTAGTATGTAGTTTATAGCTTCCCCCTTTACATTTTTTTTTTCAAGATTCAATATTTTGTTTTTCCTTCGTTCTCGTTATCTTTGTGTGTTTCATCAGCTTGGGTTATAATATGACTTTTCTATGTTACATTCGTTTGTTTGTGTTTCTCTGTCTGTCTGATCCTGTTTTTGTTCTTGTGATGTTTAAGATGTACAATAATTGTCCAGGTTGTTCCACTTTAAGCTCTGGTTTACTTGAAAAAAAACTTGTACTGTCCTATATTACTCTTTCTTTAACTTTTCCTTATTTTTTTCATGCATTTTTTTTAACTTTCATATATTATTACTGTATTGTACTTTATATTATCTCAATTTCTATTGGTTTATTGGAGAGTGCAGAATAAAAGTCTACTGAATAAAATGAATACAATATCGACATATATTGATAACTTTGTTATTTCTTAGGCTTTACTTACTTTTCGACATGGATACTTTTCCAGCTGAAAGCAAACCGAATACCCGTGAATCCGTTCTTTCTGATTCCACTGATTATAGATCGATACTTCCTACTATAATCAAATCTTGTACCAGGTTGATACAAATGTTTCGGGTACCACAAAATTCGAATATTCGAAGTTCGAATACGGTCGAGAAATTGAGCCCGTATCTTAAGGATTTTAGTAGTGTTTGTGTCCCCCATGGCACGAGCGTATGAAAACATCAGAGATCGGTTAATAACACTTAAACTGGACGCTTTGCCGACGTCAACTTCGTAGCCTTTTATCTGCGCCCCATTGGCGCGGATAACAAAGTCATGTGAGTCGATGAAATCCCCACAACTGCTGTTGTTTAAGATACCGCTGTTACCGACCACAGCGCAGCTTGTCTGCCGTGGGATGAGCTCCACTCCAGGGAAATGTTCCTCCAAGTTACATCGCTCCACCTCAAGCACTGAGGATTCATTAGAGGCGTTGCTTGCACTTGCTACACGGACAACTGGATAGTGATATTGCAAGTTGAAGGTCATGTTTTCAGTTGGTGTATCGTTCTTGTAGACGAAGACGGCCAACTCTAGGGGGACGCAGATATCACCTGCAGATCTGTCAATGAAGAAAGAGAGAAAAGTTTTGGATTCCTTCGTCCCAAAATCGAGGGAAATCACCGTTGAGTCCAAACATTGTTTCAAGCAGACTGAAGATTATGGATCATGCAAACAACGTACGGACAAAATAGAAATGTCAAACGCACTAAAACGAATGACCCCAAAAAACACCCGAATCTGTGTTTTAAATACAGTGCATATCTTCACAGCTAAAACAAATATCCTAAAACTAAGACAAGTCAGAGTGCTAAATGCGTGTAAATGAAATCTGAGCTTTTGAAGCAAATTAAAAATTGACATTGTTCAAGCCAATACTGTGGAACGAATTTAAAGGATCGTTCCAGGGAATTTGTATGATGTTAAAGCCGATAGGCCTAGATGAAATTTGCAAAACCTGGCTATAGCACTGATGTAATTATTCATGTTGCTGCAGTTTTTCAGAATGATGAGTTATAAATTCACACACTCACCTACGTTTGTTTATGGTGTAAATCGAGGATTTTCTGCTGTTTCTCTTACTTTTCCTTAGTTTATACTTTTCTTATTTGCACATTACAACAAGTAAATGGCCATCCTCCATACAAACGATCAAAGTTGAAATACGCGCTGTATTCACACACAGATGGGTATAGGCTAATTGCATACACCCTCGACTTACTGAAACCAAATAACATAGTAACTGTACCAAATGTAAATTTAGTTTGTCTGCTTGCTGTAGAAACCAAATATTTGTGCTTGTGGAAAAAGTTTATGTACATACTTTTCGAATTCAAAACGACAGCAATTGCACTTTGGGCACACTGACTATGTCAGACATCCATTAACAATACATGCGTTTTAGGTGGCCGATTCGCTCGGCCAGATGGCATACGGGGCAGTCTATTTGCCGGTCACTCACGAAGTTTATTCAGAAAGTAACTGCACAGCTAGTTGCTGTCAACTCTAGTGAATATTCAAACCAAATTTGAATGTAATTCGCAAAAATCGTATGTACGTACTTTTCAATATTCATAAAACCATTAATCAATCTGAAATTGATCAACTGTATAATCAGCCGATAACCCAATTTTGGCATGTGTGTGTGCACCGGGTGCGCGCGCGCGCGTGCAACTCGCCGCGCGCGTGCAGCTTGTTCTTCACGCGCGGTACTGCATGCTGATTGGCTAATGGTCATTTGTTTACTGCGTTTGCACGCGGCTAAATCAGGTCACCGCGTATTCGCTAAACGTGTATTCATTACTTCCCAAATCAGTGCGCGCTGTAATTGGCTGTATGTAAATGAAATGATGATATCAGAGCTCATTAAAGGTTGTCACCTCCCCGGGCGTACTTGTTGTAATGAACAGCTCTCCTTGGTTTTATACATGTTTTCTAAATGAGGAGTCCTCGATTTGGTTCATGTCCTCAATTCATCGATAATGTGTGCAACATAATGTGGGTCCTCGATTTACACCACAAACAAACGCTACCTGACCACAAGTGTAAGAATTTTTTCAATGGATGAGTTCCAAAATGGCTTTCTTAAGCCTAAAAAAGCATTTTCAAGTGAGAAGACAAGGCAATCCTGGTAAAGACGGTCCCAGAGCAAATTCTGTTCAATTGATTCAGAATATGCACTTGAGTTCTTTTCATGCATCGTGGGGTAATCCCATACCGTACGATAACACGTCCCGGCTCATTATTTCCAAAAATCATCTAAATGACAGCATTCCAAAGTCCTAAATGACAGCATTTCTTCTAAATGACAGCAAGCCAGATCGTAACTCTCCCGATATTTCAATTAAATTCATCCCAAAATCGCCGCTTTTTGAATTAGCTAGCTCTCAAATTCCTCGTCATAACATCAACAAGATCATGGGGAATGAAACGGAGGAGAAACCTGCAGCAAAAACCCAGAGGAAAAGGGAGAAAAACACTGCGTCAGTGTCCGATCCTGCGTCATCAGCAGAGGCTACACACAATTGCTGCCAAGATGGCTGCCATGGCGCAGCAGATGTTCACCACAAACTAGACAAGATCATCAAGAGTTTAGAATCTATTCTAGACTAACAACACTCGAGGTGAATTACCATAAGATCACATCGCAGGTGGATGACCACAGCAAAACCATCCTTGAGCTGCAATCTGCTGCTGAATATGCAAGCAAACGTAATGCCTAACTGGCGAGTCTCATCAAAAATCGATGCGATGGGTAACCACATCTACTCATGTCAACTCGAGGATAAGATGGAAGACCTACAGAATCGTTCCCGACGTAACAACATAATCATACATGGAGTACCTGAACGATCTGAAGGGGATCAACCCTGCGAGGCCTTCGTCTCTGAATTCCTGACGCAACATATGAAATTAGAAGGTAGTGAGGATTATTATCGAGATTGAGCGCGCCCATCGCACCCCGGCTCACCGACCAGCCACCGCGGGTACCGGAGGCCGTCAAAAGCCAATAGTAGGGGGGCCAATGTGCAGATTTGGGTTCCCGTCGAAATTTCATGTTAATTTTTGGCAACCATTATAAATGTAATCTTATGAGTCCTGAGAACAAGAAAATTGATGTTGCCATTTTTTTCCATTGACCTTTAGTGACCTTGACCTGAGGTCAAAGTTCATGGGTCATTTTCACCTAAAATTTGCCTTTCGGAAGGGTTTGCAAAGATTTTCCAGGCAAGTGAGCACATATTGTATTTGGTTGAGAGTTTCTCCATAATAATAAATGTTATTATCAATGTATTTATGGGTTTTCCTGAAGAAAACATGGGAAAATGTCACTTTTGCCCGAAAAGGGCTGGGTTGTTTTGACCATCTCACGCAGATTCCGCCCCCCCCATGACCTCGGCCATCGAGTGACGAAAAATTATGAAACTTGGTACATGCATAGAACAACATTATATGAACAAACCCAAGAAATTTCATGACTAAAGTGAAAAAAGTAGGAGTCAATTTCTCAACATAACAGTTTATTAGAATACAAGTTCTTGAAAATGTGAATTTGCGCAGATACTAAAAACCCATAGCTCTCAGTGCCTACTGGCAACTGAAATTTACAAAAAAGTGTATTTTTTTCGAGGTTAATTTATTCAGGAACTGTGTGGGAAAGGGAACTGGATAGATTGTAAACACATTGCTGTTCCGGACAAAAGGTATATAGGCCTATTTCAAAATGTTCAAAAACATGTACCGGTATAGTTATTGTTTTTCCCCCTCAAACTTCCTCATTATTTTTTACAAACAATATTAACAATGCTGTGTTTTGCGAGAGTGATTAGTTTAGTCAAGAACAGCCAATGATTTCACAGGTTTGAAAGTAGGGCCTACTACCAGAAAGCAAGACTTGTCAGACAAAATAAATTTTCTCTCTTTGAGAAAAAAAGGAACACTGAAATCAGGTAAAATTATGGATCCATCATCGTCTCGTTCGAGACTTTCAACAATGGGCGAGAGAAAATAATGCTCAATATAATTTTGCATTAATTTATTGTATTAATTTTACTTGGGATTCATAGGAAATATAGGTAGGCCCTACACACAATTTATTACAAAATTTACTACAATATATTCAGGAACAGAAATGTACGAAGAGATTTAAAGACGAAAATAAAAAAACTAAAAAAAAACATTGCCGACGATGTCTTTTGATTAACTGTGCTGACTTCTGACAGAAGTACAGGAACGCGGCCCGCAAATATAAAGGTATCAGAACATATACCTAAACGAAACGAAACGAAAGTACGAAAGGAAACGAAAGGAAACGAGAGGAAACGAAACTACGAATAACAAATTAAAACAATAATAAAGCATGTTTTTTTAATTCAACACCTATCTCCACATTAGACGAATTTCCCGAAACGTGGACGAATCTGAATGCTTTATATTATATTTGCGAATTACACTGGAGACATAATAGGAATTACATTCGAATTCGGAATAAACAATGGAGCCCAACGACGTTCTGGAACGAAATTAAAGTATCTTTCCAAGGAATGCTATATTATACAATTGTTGAAGTAACTGGGAAAACCATAATTAAATATTAATTTTAAAACAAAATCCTCATTTTACAAGCATTCTGTTCAAGTAAGCGTAAATACACAATTACATAATTCATTGCATTTTATTCTGTATAATAATGTTTACACGGCATTGTAACATTTTATTGTGTGGAAATGGCAACATTGAATAAATGTTTCTACTACTATTATTAACAGTCTTTTTCCCGCCGTAAAATAGCTCCAAAATAGTGCCGTATAGCTCCAAAATAGTGCCGACTGATCGGGGGAGTATAATTATGGAGCAAACCGAGGTTTTGATCGCATTTCACAAGTGATTTTGATCTCAGGCATACCCCACCAAAAAGCTCTCAATTGCACACTTTGTCAGCCAAAACGATTACTCACAGTATTACCGCATCGTCATTGGTGAAACTGTAATTCAGTCATCCTCCAAGTGCAGAAATCTTGGTGTAATCCTCGACTGCCATCTATCAATGAGCGATCAAGTATCAGCAATATGTAAAAAACGCAACTTTCACCTGCTAGGGGGGGGGGGGGGGCAATGTACTTCCGTTGGCATGTCATGTTAATTTATGGCAACCATTATAAATGTAATCTTATGAGTCCTGAGAACAAGAAAATTGATGTTGCCATTTTTTCCATTGACCTTTAAATACCTTGACCTGAGGTCAAAGTTCATGGGTCATTTTCACCTAAAATGTGCCTTTCGGAAGGGTTTGCGAAGATTTTCCAGGCAAGTGAGCACACATTGTATTTGGTTGAGAGCTTCTCCGTTATAATAAATGTTATTATTAATGTATTTATGGGTTTTCCTGAAGAAAACATGGGAAAATGTCACTTTTGCCCGAAAAGGGCCGGGTTGTTTTGACCATCTCACGCAGATTCCGCCCCCCCCCCATGACCTCGGCCATCGAGTGACGAAAAATTATGAAACTCGGTACATGCATAGAACAACTTAACATGAACAAACCCAAGAAATTTCATGACT